AAAAAAAACAGTTGCGTGAACTACAACCTCTTGTGATCTACTTGTGAACACACACTAAAAAGAGATGAGGAAATGTTGCTGCAGATCCCCCTGGGCTTTCTTTGCCACTCATGTCAGGAAAGCCACCATTAGACACATAATATTCAGAAGACATGCCTCACTCTGGTTTCCACCTCTTGGACACATATTCATTTTAAGATAGAGTTGCTGCCGAGTCTTGCTCACTGGTTTGATTTGCATAGCTCTGAGTTACATACGAATGGGACCTGTGGCAAAGCTATCATTAAAGAGAAACAAAGCAGAAGATTGAACAAAGGATGCATTCTGTGCAAAGTTTGAAGTTTAGACTGTTTCAGTAATCCTTGTCATGGTGAGAAAGATGTCCGCCCCTTCCCCCACCTAAAAAAACAGCAGACAAGTGACAAAGGGAGGCTCCCTGGAGGTAACATGGGAGCAGTGAGTAGGGTGAACTAAAGGCTGTACAGATGAAGAGAGAGAAAGGAGTTGGCATGGACACAGGGAGAGGCAGCCAAACACCCTGCATTCACAGCACAGAGATACGTGATTAGGTTAAAATCACTCTCACCTTCTCCCAGTGTATTAAAGTGGGACTAGGTCAGGCTGGGGCGAAAGGAATGACATTGTGATGATGCTCAGCTTTCCCAGAGGCCTCACAAGGATGGCGACACAGCTAGAACCAGAACATTCTCACTGGCCCTTGTATATCAAATTCTTGAATATCTGCATTTACAGATTCATATGTTTTCCTGCAAACGCAAGAAAAGAGTCTTCTGAAGGCTGTAAATGACTTTAGTTCTTCAGTGATTTAAGAGTGTAAGGGCTTTGGAGTAAGGGAAAACTCATTTCAAATCTCTGCATCTTATAGATTCATGGTAAAGTTGTCAATTCTATGTTTTAGTTCCAACATGTGAAAAAAAATTGGTACTACATATACCACAGAGCTTATGTAAAGATTATATCACACATGTAAATTGTATAAGACATGTAGTGCCTGGCAAGTGATTATTAACAATAACATTTTTGTTCAGCAAGGACTCTTACCCATTTCTGTCACATTCTCTGTCACCCACACCCCGCTCTGCCTCACCTCACGTCGTTACTATCTGTCTGGTCCGTGGCGTTTCACCCTCTGGTCCAGCTTTGCCTTTTCCCCAAGATGCTGTGGGTGTCGATCTCTCTGCTTCCAAACCTCATGCTTCCACGTTCTTCCGGAGGGATAGCTAGAATTATTCATAAATTCAGTCCAGAAATAGACAGAAATTTTAAATCATACATAGGACACATGACTTTTAGGAAATACTATTCTTGTTCTTGAATTCTGAATGTACTGTTCATCTTTTAGAGCTTTGACCCTGAGGCCATTCGTGTCAGGTGAACAAGGAATCAGTATTATTATTTTTGTACCCCCCTCCCAAGAGGTTAAAATGACTCACCAAGAGTCACTCAGTGGTCTTGGATGCAGAACCCAATGAGACAATCTTGGATTCTTGGTTCAAAACCTTCCAGGGTCTCCATTTACTATGAAAACGTCACCCTAGAGAGGGATGATCCCAGGGGTCCATTTTACATTATGATATTATTTCTTACACATGAAATGCTTCCAGGATTTGGACTGGCCCTCTGGTTACCCACAGAATACAGAGAGAAGGCCATGTAAATTCCCACAGTTGGAGCAGTCCTTGTCACCAAAATTCTCATATGTGAGATTACATGTCGGTGTCTATGACATAGTCAGGCCGTGGCTTCTCAGGATCTACTTATTACAAGTGAGATTATGTGCCTTGAAGCATATGGCCTTGATATATGATCCCGGAGCAAAAGAGCAAGGTATTTTAAGCTGGCCACAATTTTATTGACTCTCACAGGCTTGCTTTGTAGTCATTCCAATAAACTAGATGAGAAATTTCTGATGCTGCAAGCTATCCTGTCCCTAGGACTCCATTTCATGATTCAGAGTCCAACTAAACAACTCAAGAGTGCTTTTGTGTGACACTGTGACCACAGGGATAAATAATTGCTTAGTAATTCTCTTTGAGGCAGAAAATTCTAAACATGGAGGAACCATTTCCCCTTAATGGGAGCCAGAAATCCTGTAAGTGCTTGAAATGGCATTCACAAGTCTGAATGGTAAACAGATAAAAACAGGAGCGCACCAGTTGCACAAATGACTTGCCTGTCACAAACTTGTCATTGCAGGAATCTAACATTTCTTTCACAGAGCCCGATGGAAAGCAGGGAACAAACAGACCCTGCTGACGTTTTGGCTCTGCTAAGCCTTCCTCTGAGCTAAAGCGTCTGCAGCATCTTCCTGTCCTAGACCCTTTATCTGCTGAAGTTAGCTGATACTGTACATGTCAAAGAAATGTTTGACTATTGCATTAACAAGTCGATGACAAGCAAGTTATTCCTGCAACTGAAATACTGCTGCTTTTAGCAGGCTGCCATTTTGACCTTCATCTTATTATACAGAGGAACCCTAACAGAGCAAGGCTCGAGGGAGATAGCAGTACTGTGGCCCTGGGCCTGTACGGATGAGTAAGGACCACCTGTCTAGGGTTTAGGTGCAGTGGGGTAGTGGACACACCAGGCAATTCCATCAGGGTTATGGGTGGGATTTTCTAGTAAAATGTAAATATTGCCAACACATTGAACTGTCCCAAGGATTCCTCTTGCTGAGATAAAGGGAGCTGCACAGCAATTCATTTTCACCCGCACTCCCTCTACCCTCCAACACATGTGCCACACACAGGCCTGCATATACTTTATAAAATGTTAATAGCTAGAAAACTTAATGAAAATCGTATACCAGCTGTACATATAGTTTTTGCCAGTTCTTGGAGTCCCTCCTATCAGTAGCCTCTCCTTGCCTCCTCCTCATTCAGCATAACATCTGGAACCGTCTAAGCCTAATCAGAACCATGCTCTTATCCCCTGAAAAGCGAGGTGTGGCCATTAGCCTCCTCACAGGAACCTCTGAGAGCTCCAAGACTCCACCAGTCCATCTGCAACCTCGGCTGCCAGCAGGGGAGTGCTCATCCACTGGGCAGCTTCTGAAGCTTGCCTTTCTGTGTGAGGAGCCTTCCTCCCCTGGGGGACTCCACCTGTGGTGTCCCCAGTGTGTGCAGTCCAGTGGGTCTCAGGCTTATCAGCCTACGGAGCCGAGCTGGAGCCTGTAACAGGAGCCTTGCCTGCTGCTGGGGTATTTTGCCTCTGCCGGTGCCATAGGTATATCAGCACTTGGAACAATGGAGCATTTGCCCTAAGACTTTGGCCTTTTCATAAAGCTGAGCTTCTCTTATTCAACAAGGTGTCAGGTGCCCTGTATTCTTTTTAGACCCCTCGTTAAGGGTGCATTGATAGTGTCTTATCTGGTTTAAATATTGACGTGAAACGCTTGCATTCTCAGACATTTTCTGGCTGGTGCCCCAGGTGCTTTCATTTTTTAAAGTCTTGTGTAAAAATGATTATCATTGTTCAGCCATGAGAACCCAAATTTCTTGCCAAAGTAGCGATGGAGCTTAACTTTCTTTTATATTTGGCAAATTGACCACCTTCTGTCTCCCAGATGAATTGTTCTACTCCCATCCCAAATATCTCATGCTGTAATCTATACCTCAGCTTTGTTACCTCTGAAGACAGGTGGGAAGGGTGTGAGAAGAGGGTCCTGTGTTTTACACAGTTAAGTGCATTGTCCCTGGAAAAGGAAGTGAAAGTAGTTTGAGGTGAGGTGGCACTTACATGTTCTGTAAAAGAAAACATGAAAACAAACGGTTTTAATTTTAAATGGAGTTTTAGTGACTTTTTGTTTCTTTTGAAAGTCCCTAATAGGATTTCTGTAATGATTTTGTGTTTTCTTTCTTAATAGAACTTAAATGGCAAAGAAATGATATGCTATTTTTGATTCAGGAAAAAAATAAAAATCTTTTTTATGGGAACTCTCTTTTTAAATACACATTAGGGAATAGATAATGGCAGCAACAAAAAAAATGTTCTCTCTCCCCATTTAGGGGATAGCTGATTAGTGTATGTGTTTGTGTTTTTAATATATATTTACTTATTTGATTATTTGTCTATTTATTTTAAGAATACAAGAAAGGAAGAAAGAAAAGAAAAATCCTTATGTTGGAATACTTTCATGAGACTTACAGAATTTTAGGGCTAGAAAGGAGCTTCATGACAGGGCTGTGACTTTGCGTCACACTCGTACTTCAGCGATGTGGGTACTGAGACCTAAAGATGTTTAATAACATGAACAAAGATATCCAACAGGCTTGTGGCAGAGCTGGGCCTAAATCAAAGGCCCAACTTTCAATCCAAGCAATACTTTCTCATAAATTACATTAAAAGTTTTTAAACTTTCTTTAAAACAAAGACAGTCTTACTTGAATAATTTACATTGATGTGCTTAAATCTGATACTGTATTTGCTTTTTGGATAACTGGGGCTATGTACTGGGTAAGCCAACCTAGAGATGTACATTTGAACAGTTTGGAGACATTTCTTCCTAAGCTGTATGATATGTGAGTCATGCTAGGAACAGTTATAATTTCAGTTAATTGTTTTCTCTTACGTGACTTCAAAGAAATGCTCCATTCCCATTTTAGGCACCTGAAAACATGTATTTTTAAGTGAGTCTGTTCCTTTAAAAAGTATTCATGTAAATAGGTCATAGTCTAACATTCTTGGAGATAAAAGATCTTTTATTAGATTAAAAGAAATCTGTTTTTTATTCCCACTTTTAGCCATGTTTCAGTGTGTCCCTGTAATTGTCAGTTTCAACAAAACACTGATTAAGTCAAAACATCGATGTTTTTGTTTGTTTTGGCTCTTTAGTTTAACACAAGAGGATAAAAAATGCATTTACCTTTTCGCAGCTATGATAATTATATACTTTATTTTTCATTTATGCAAAACTTATTTTTGAGGTTTTTCTTTTTGTTTCATTTCTTCGTTTTTGCGTTTTCCAAACATCTGTACAGTGGCTGGTGGCGAGAGAAGCAGTGACTGGCACTTTTCCTCCACGTTTTGAGAGAAAGAGAATTGGCTGGCTGGAATAAAACCTTGCTTTCCATATGGTCGACTTGAAATACTGCATTGAAAAGGTACCGTCTCTTTTTCCTTTATGAAACCAGAGGTGAAACCCATGAACAAATAGCCATATTGATGCCAGACCACCTGTTGATTCACATTAGAGAAGTCCTTGGCAATGCTTTCCCCACTTCATCAGATGAAAAATCTAAATGGCTGGATGTTCTTTGTGCGCTGGTAGTATCTTATCAACAATATATGCTGCTGGTCACTCGCTTAAGAAAGCCTAGATTCTACACGTAGTCAAGACATGAATAGAAAGTTTTGCTTTTGATTCAGCAATACAATCGTTTTGTAAGTATGTTTGGCTATGAAGTATTTACTGTGATTCCTGGAACATGGGGACAGTGAAGAGAAGATGACAGTAGTGCTTTCATTTACCTTGATTAATTCTAGTTAGGAAAAGCAGTAGCCTTTGTCTTACCAATTCTTTTAATGTAAACTATTAAAAGCATATAAAAGTATAAAGAACAATGTGAACAGACAAGAATTCAGCGCCCAGGTTAATCCAACCTTAATTAGGAATATTTATTTCTGAAACTGGTTTTATCTTTTATTTTTTTCATTATAAGTCATATACAGTGAAGTACACAAATTAAGTGTATAGCTTGATGAGCTTTTATGTAAATATGCATCCAGGTGACAACATCCAATCCAAGACACAAAACATTCATCATGCCTGGGAAGAGTCCCTTGTTGCCCCTTGCAGATGATATTCTCAAAACTTTAACAAAACGTTGGAAAAAAGCAAAACTATTCTGGCCTCTATCATCATGAATTAATTTTACATAAGCCGTATATGGCTTATATAATATTCATCCTACTGTATGCATCACTAAAATTTATTCATTGCACTTCTCATTGTTAGAGATTATTTCCAGTGTTTCCCAATCACAACCAATACTGTAGTTAACATTTTTATACAAGTTTAAACACAGCGAAGAAATTGCTAACCTCTAAGAAATAATGCATTTTCAACTTTACTAGGGACTGTAAAATTTCTCTCACAAGTGGTAGTACAAATTTACATTCTTGTGAACAATCTATGCGAGCTTCTCCATATGCTTTACATTTAGAATGGCCAGACTTTTTTAATTTTTGTCAGTCTGATGGGTATTAAGTAATATGCCATATATATTTTTTTTCACTTATAAACCATTGGGATTTCCTCATGTGTGTTTCCTATTTGTATATTTGCCTATCTTTCTATTGGGTTATGTGTATTGCTATTGTTGTTAGTTCAGATGGCTTTGGCTTTGGTTTTTATTGTTGTAATATCCTGAATTCCCATCCTTTGGGCAATACAGATTGCAAATATTTCTTCCCAATTTGTAGTTTCTCTTTTAACTGTGTCTGTACTAGCATTTATTTTTAAAAGCTTCTAATTTTAGTGCTGTTAAGTTTATTGATATTTTCCTTTATGATTTGTGCTTTTGTGTTGTTTAAGAAATCCTTCCATATGACAAGGTCATTATGAAACCTTCCTGTATTTTGTTTTAGCAGTTTTAAAGTTTGGCTTTTTTAGAGCTCTAATCTTCTTGGCATTGCTTTTGTATACGGTATCTTACATGCACCCTATTTTATTCTTTTTCCATGTGGATAACCTTATTATTCCAGCACCATTTAACATATTAGTCATCCTTACCACTAATTTGTAATGCCATCTTTCGCCTACATCAAATCTGTTTTTAGGATCTTTATTTCATCCAGTGGACTGTTTCTCTATTCTTATGCTAACGCCATAATGCCTTAATTACCATCGCTTTATAATACTCTTGTTGTTTGGTAAGGTAAATCTCTCTACATTGTTTTATTTGAAGCTCTCGTCTCCTCTTGGCTTTTTGCTATTCAATATGAATTGTAGCATTAGTCAAATTTGGCAAAAGCCCTGCTAAATTTTATTTGTAATTACATTAACTTTAGAGAATAGTCTGGGGGGAGAATTGACATTTTTTATAACATTGTGTCTTTCTGCCCATTAACAGACTATATTCCTCTACTTGATCATATTTTCCTTCATGTTTCTTAATAGTGTTTTACAGTTTTCACCATAAAGGTCTTATTTGAACCTCTTTTGTTAGATTTCTTTTCCTATAACAGAATTTTGTGCTATTATGTATAGAATTTCTTATTATTTCATTGTTTATTGGTATTATTGGTGGATAGGCAGCAACTGTGCTGAACTCTCTTGTTAGTTCTAATGGCTAAACTGGAAATTCTCTTAGGTTTTCTGCATAAACATATATGCCATCAGTAAATAATGACAGCTTTTCTCTTAAATTTCAGTTCTTAAGTGCTCAGTTTCTTTTTCCTTTCATATTGCATTACGAAGACCTGAATACAGTGTTGGCTAGAAACAGTGATATTAGGAATATCTGTTCTGTTTCTTACTTTAATAGAACTGTTTTGGAAATGTGATATTTGCTTAGGATGTTGGTAAGTCAAAATTACTGTGATAAGGAAGTTCCCACATCTATTTATAGTTTGCTAATCAAATAATCAGAAATACTAGCTGAATTTTATCTAATGCATTTTCTGCATCAATAATATGATAGAATTTCCCATTAATATGTTAATATTTTATATGATATTAGTACATTTCCTGATATTAAACATGTCTTACATTCCTGGAAAAAATTGTATATGGTCCTGGTATGTTTTTTAATCTGTTGAGTTTAATTTGCTGATTTTATGTAGTGTGTTTGCATGTGGATATTAGTCTTTAATTTTTCTTTCTTATAGTTATTTTAGAGTTTTGGTTCATGGTAATACTAGCTTCATAAAATAAGTTGAGCAGTATTTATTTATTTATTTATTTATTTATTTATTTATTTATTTATTTATTTTTCTATTTCTGAAGCAGTTTTATATTATAGGGATTACCTATTCTAAAGATTGGTTAAACTTGCCTCTAAAATCATCTGGACATGGTATTTCCTATCAGTAAAGAGGGTGTAGGGTGGACTTTTGATTATCAGTTCAATTTCTCCCATTGTTATTGATTTATTAAAGTGTTCTATCTCTTCTTAAGTCAACGTTGGGAAGTTGCTTTTTTAAAGAAATGTACATTAACAGTTAATATACGCTTTCAAATTTATTTGCATAAAGTTGTTCATAATCGCGTTATGATTTTTCAATTTATCTTTAATTATGTCCCCCTCTTATTCCTAATACTATTTATTGAGCCTTTTCTTTCACTAGTTGTTCAACATAATTCTGTTTTATTTGCTGTTTTCAAAAACTGGCTTTTGATTTTGCTTATCTACTTTGTTGTGTCTCTGTATTCTATATCATTCCTTTCTGCTTTCATCATTATTTTCTTTATTCTACTTTCTAATGGTTTAGACCTTTTTTTCTTTTTCTAGATTCTTGAGTTGAATTAGTACTCACTTAATTTCGATTCTCTTTATTATTTTTTAAAGTTAATTTTATCTCTAAATTCTCCTTCCAGTTTCTCATTAGCTGCATAACATATTTTGATGGGTAGTTTTGTACAGTTTTAAATATTTTGTAATGTCTGGTTTGATTCATTTTTACTCCTTGAGTTATTTGGAAGTGTGTGTTTTTACTTTCTAAGCATATATTTGCTCTATTTCTATTGCTGATTCTGAATTTAACAGCCCTATAGTGAGAAAATCTGTTTTATATGATGTTAATTGAAAACAAATTTTGAAATAATTCTTGTGACCTGGCACATGGATTTTACTGCTGAGCTTGAAATATATAGGTGGCTTATGTATTTCTTTAGTGCTCATGCTATAATATTTATATGTATAGCTAACTACATATTCTGCTTTTAAAAAAAATCTACTGTTTAGAATTTCTGGCTTTCTCCTTAATGTTAAAAAAGATGCCTAGAATATTTTATCTACTTACTAAGTATCAATCTTGTTATGTAATTGTTGACTAAAGTTTTAGTTTTACCTGTTTGTTTTAAACATATACAAAAGTGGTTATTATTGATTTTTGTAGTCGGTGCTCAATTATATTTACTCATACGTTTTAGTTATTACTCTGCCTTCCATTATTCTTGGATTTTATGGCTTCCTTTCTTCTTGTCGAATTACAACTTTTAGTAATTCTTTGGGAGGGGCCTGGGTAGTACACTTTTTTGTGTGTGTATCTAAAAACAGATTTATTTTATTTTTAATCTGAAATAATTTATCTGGATATTTTTGCTCAGCATTTGAAGATAATATTCAATTATATCTTAGACTTAATTATCATTACATAAGAAGAAATCTGCTATTGGTCTATTTTTCATCTCTTTGTAGGTAGTCTGCCTTTTTCCTCTGGTAACTTTTAAGAGTTTTTTTATATCCTTGATGCCTTTCTGAAATGTGTCTAGATGTGTATTTATTTTGAATTATCAGTTATGAACTCACAGCATACTTTCTAATCTCAGGACTCTAATTCTGGAAAATTCTCAATTATTATCTTCTTCCATATTGTTTCTTTGTCATTAATTTTTATTTTCTTTTAGGGTTCTTATAGATGTATATTGGTGTTTTCTAGTCAATTTATCATATCTCAACTGCTCTTTCATTTTCTAAAAATTTATTTTCTGTGATTTTTTGAGTGAATTTCTTAATATTACTTTCTAACTCACTTAATCCTCTCCTTGAAGTTGCCCAGTCTTAAGTTATCCCATCTATTGCATTATGTCCATGAACATATTTTTCATTTTTTAGATTTATGATTGGTTCTTTATTCACCTAGTCTTATTGCCATCTGTTTTATTTAATAATTTCTTGTTCTTTTACAGGTATGATTCTTTTATTTATCTCTGACCATCATAAACATTCTCATGTTGAGGTCATTGTCAGGCAATTCTATAAAATCTAATTCATCTCGAGTGAATGCTCCAGTGATAAGTGTGTTGGTTGTTTTACTTAACATTAGATTTCTTGCTGTTTTAGAATTTTGTTTTGCAGGTTAATGCTGGTCATAGGCTTTTTTGTCTTGTCTCTTGGTTTTCTTTGTATCTTTTTTTATTATTATTATTTGTTCATAC